TAGAATTAAGGCAGTTCTGAAGGCGAAAGGGGGTCAAACACCGTATTAGTATGGTGTTCCTAATAATCCTTTAGGTGAGTGTAATTGCACTTAATATGCCTCGGATGAGACAGCAAACTTTCATTAGAGTAAATGCCCTCCCTTACAGATTATTTTGTTGGGTTAATGTTTGACTGTAAATTCTCACAGTAAGTACACATAGAGGTTAGACCCCCCCAACCCCAAACAAATTTTTACCTGAGCATCCTACCTCAGCCAGTAGATGTTTTTATAAAGTATCAGGTTAGCAGTGTTTTCTTTGTGCACTTATTCACAACAGAGTTTCATAAGGTCACACCTGAGCTCAGATGCCCCCCCCCACCAGTGGCTGACCAATGAAGCTGCAGCACACACCAAGGTACATTCTGTCACGTAGAACCCAGGAGTTACAAATTCCCCCAAGGGTCATTGTTACAGAGCAGCGGAGTCTGAGTGAGGTCCCTTATCATGTTGTGCAAAGTCCTAGCGTGTCAGTGTGGTTGGTCTGCTTGGTCCAGCGTCTGGCATGTTCTACAGGAGTTGCATGGCTGCTGTGACCACTGATACGATGCCTCTGTCTGTTCTGATGAGGTTTCAGGGTGGGCCTGAAACAAAATGCAAGCTAATGTCCTGCTGCGCTGGGTATTGGTAACCTCTCGCTCTGCTGTAGTCTTTGAACACGTGTGAGATGAGTCACAAGCCCTGTGTGTGATCTGATATAAGAGTTTTGCAATTTAGGCTAAAGGGTTGTTAACGTGAGTGGGGCAGTGGTTAGCACTGTTGCCTCACATCTTTGAGACCAGGGTTCAGATCTTCACCATAGCTCCATGTGTGTGGTGTTTGTATGTTCTTCCCTGTGGGGTTTCCTCCTGCAGTCCAAAAACATGCTGAGGCTAATAACAGTTGGCAAATTGCCCATAGGTGTGCATGTGTGCCCTGTGATGGGTTGTTCCCTGCCTTGTGCCCATAGGCTCTGGACTCCCCATGACCCTGAATAGGACAAGCAGGTATGGAGGATGTATGGGATGTTGATGTTGCTTCAGATAAAGTCACCTGCTGAAAAAAGAAAAATGTAGATGCAGAAGAAAACATTCACCCAGATTGCTTCAGTGTAAGTATGCGACTTGATGTAATTTGTGTGGTAGAAATTCTTAAGTTTGGTGAGTAATCAAGTCTGTTTTTCTGTTTCCCATGTGCTCTGGCTTGCTCTTGGTGTGCTGTGTGGCGTCTCCCTGAGATGCAAAACGATGTGAATGAGTGAATGAGCTGAATCGTCTAGTGGGACGCCAGAACATTTTCCAGGGCATTTTACACGTTCTTGCTGCTTATCTTTCACACCTGAGGACCTTACACTTCTTCTTTAGAAAATACCAGCATCCACTGATGGTCAGTATACAAATGGAGTTTCAGAGAAACTTTAAGTTTGACGGGTTTTGTTTACAAGCTCCTTCCAGCTCACTTCACAGTTTCCTGCTGGACAGTCACCTGCTCCAGAAAAATCACAGAATAACTGCAGTATTGGTGCCTGTACACCAGGGGGAGCTGCAGCTGCAGGAGCGTGCGCCAACAGGGTCTCTGAGTAATAATTCATTATTTCTACATTTCCTTGTAGAGAGGAAATAGATTTAATTTATTCCACATTTAATTAAATAAAGATCTATAATGCTTTGTTGTTTAAACCATGAGTAGTTGTAAGTAAACAATGTTCTGTTACTTCTTTGTGTTACGTTTAGAAAAACAGAACAAAACCTTTATGCATTATGACAAAATATGGATCTTGTTTATTATCTTACTACAGAAGGAAAATAATTGGTGTCTATTTTGATGTTTTAAAATACACAGCCTGTAACTATAATATCTGTAATATTTCAAATGTGAGCTTTTTTGGCAGGCAGGTGAGCTTATGTTTAGTGGAGAGTCTCAAGTATGAGACTGAACTTATTCGATGAATATCGACATGCATGGTAGGCATGTCCTAAGCACATCATTCAGTTTTTGTAATAAGTACATTTTGTCATTTATTATGCAGAGGTGGGTGATTCAGGTCCAGAGAGTCAAAGTCCAGGCCAAGATTTTGTTTCAACCAACCAGTTGTATATACAGTAGAGTAGCCAACTAGCTGGGTGAAACAAAATCTTGGTCTGGACTTCTATGCTCCGAACCTGAACTCCCTATCTCCGCTATTAAGCACATGCTTTTATGTAAAGCGATGTACCTTCTGTGTACTTTCTGAGTAAGCAGGGTCACACAGTCCCTGGTGCAACAGGGGGTTAAGGCCTTGCTCAGGAGCCCAATAGGTCACAGGCACCGTGTCCCAACCCACTGAGCCACTCCACCCCCTATAATAACTAATATTAATCTTACTACAGCTTGAGCTTCGAGAACTGGGGTGGGCAAACTTTTTGGCCCAAAGGAAACATTAATTTTTTAAATTGTAAGGCAGGCCATTACAGACGGCCTAACCTAAATTTATAGCTGTGGGGAGTGATGTTACCTAACGTGAATACAAAAGAAATGTACAGCGTTTTGGGCCATATAACTTAAAAGAGGTATAAAACTATTGTTTGATTTTAAAAATGCAAGGTGGAAACTATCCTAAAGGGGCATTCTTATCTTTTGCAAAGTACTTCGTATGACACAGGCAACGTGACCGGGTACCAACAGCGAACATGGGGAGTCCGTCAGCATCGGAGGCACCAGGGAGGATCGCAAAAGGAAACGACTATTTACACAGTCCTTCAGCTAAGTGAAATCCACACATTCTCGGATAAAAGATATCAATCATCAATGTACTTTTAAAACATATTAAATTATCTACGATCAAACCAGATTTGCTGCATAACAATAACCACCGGCATAGCACCTTAACGTTGATTACAGTATAGACCAATGCTTAACTTTACCATTACATGACGCATGTAAGATGGCGACAATAATAATAACAACAATAATAATAATAATAATTTTTATTATTGTTATTAAGTATCTGTGAATA